TATATATATTATTATTATTATTATTATTATTATTACTATTATTATTTTATTTGCAATTATAATATATATATTTTTCAAATTAGTTCATTACTTTAACGATTATTAATTTAATATATAATATGAAATTTTTTTCTTTCAATTTAAAAAAATCTAATCACCGGAAAAATTTTTCTATTTCCGGTACAATGTGAAGCAGACGACAAGTACTCGGTATACATACGCCGTCTGGTGTCATTTGACGGCAGAGATGGAAGATGGCGGCCGGAGTCGGGTGTACAGGAAGCATGTCAGAAAAAACGGGATCAGATCAAGGTTCTGACGAATCTTCTGAAAGTGAAGGCGAAACAAAATCATTCCATAGAAGGATATCTACCTCGAAAGCCATTAAGAATGGAGTAAGTAGTATATATTTTGTAATAATTTGTTAGAAAGTGGCATGTCAAACAACGATTTGAATCGTCTGCACTCCCGTATACCGTGTATTTATATCCGTTTTCTTTCGCTTGCAATTCATTTTAAGTCAAGCTAACAGTTCTAATTACGCTCGGCTATCGATAGTTTTTAAGAAATGTTCGTTTAAAAGTGCATATTGATATAAATAACAAATAATTATATATATATATATATATAACATTGACATAACTTTATTGGTACAGTAATATACACGTATATTTCGCTCATATAAAAACACATTGCGTTAGAATTAATATGCATCCTAATGCTCCTGTGGTGGATTTTTATTCTCGGAGTTGGCACGCGTCATTATTGGAGGATGTGCGGAGCGTCGGTAAGTGATGAAAGCAGGAATCAAGATAATTTGTGTTCCAACACAACTTAATAAATTTGCAAACAGATATCGCCCATTCGTTATTTCTATTGCATAAATATAATTATTTGATGAATATTTTATGAGAGTAGTTTCTGATGAAGTATTTAAATGTCGTGTCAAAATTTGCGATAATATTATTATTAATAAAATCTTTTAAAACACGTATTATATTCCCCGGAGGAAATTTTTAATTAATTAATCAGTTAACTGATAGTAAACGATTGATACGAGTATTGAATACGCGAATAAGTGGTCGATTAGGAAAGCTTAATGACAAATGAAGGAATTATTTCTTAATAGAATGCAAATTAGAAAATTGTATAGAAATAAGAATTTATTTTCGAATACATTAATTGGAACGTGAAATTATTCTACGATAGTTATATAATTTAGTTATAACATAAAATTTTATTTATATAATGTGTCTGTGTAATTTATCGGTGATAAACTACATGCGATTGTTTTGTAGCGAATTTAAATTCAACGGAGTTGAACAATAAATTCATGTTAATGCAAGAGCTATCAGAACAACTGATGTGTGGCACTCCTTCTGGCAGTTCTGCTGCCCCCCTTCAAAGTAATATTCTCGAGATTTTCAGGGTTCCTAACATGAATTCATAAATCTTATTATTATACATTTAAAAATGTATAAATCTAGATGAGTTTTTTTTTTACTTTAAGAAAATTATTTTGAATAAATTACGAATTCCATATCACTAATTAATTTGTCATTTATTTATATAATAAAATGAAGTAAGTGAAAAACTATACATGTATTATAATTATATGAACCTCTTGATACGTTTTTAAAAGGAAATGTTAGTAATGTCATAAAAAAAAAAAGAAAAGCAAAAGCAGTGAAAGCAAAAAGTTAAGTGATGTAAGTTTTAATCTAGAATCGAATGACGTTACACATCTACTGTGTGCTATTTTGTACAGGAAATAAGAGACAATCTTTTTTTTTTCCTATTCAAATATTGTTTAAATTTTAATGGAAGTTAAAAAAGAAAACACTTATCGGGAATTTAAAAGTAGATATTGCATTGATAACATCTTTGTTTACTTTAAATAGTTCTCTAATCTCTTCGGATGATAGGCGATTACTTGCATCTAAAGTGTAAATGAGAATGTCACTCTCTACAGGATTAGATGGTTAAGAATGATAATTATTGTTTGCTATTTTACGCGATAGAAATTTCGCAAGTATAGTAGTAATAATAAAACAAACACAATTATATAGAATTATATAGAGGTTATTGTAATTAAAAACGTTTGTTAGATAAATATACATAGTATAAAGTTTCTCACGGTGCACTCGATAATTATATCGGGGAAAAAAGTTGGATGACATCACGATAACGCTGACTGCGAAACCAAAAAGAGAAAGCAATCGTCCTTCGTCTTAATGCTTGCTAATTTTAATTCATCCCAAACCCTCAATTTTGTGACGTCACATGAGTTGACCTCGTAGGCGTTTCAAGCATTAGAAAGTATTATGATTGATACATCTTTTGCTATTTTGATCTATTTAGAGCAAATAAAAAGTCTTGACGATTATAAGTTGGAATAAAAAATATATAATTTTTTTTTATAAGAGATTTAAAAGCTAATCAGAAAAGTTTGTCTCAAATTTCATTGTGAAATCATAACATTTACTTTAAATTCAGTTTTAAAAAGCAGCAATAATAGGAGAATAGGAATTTGTTAAAACTACAGTGAAAAATCATGAATAAATCTACGTAATTTTTGTTTTCTTTAACTTCTTTCTCTCTTTTTATATGTAAAATTACTATCGATCTTATGTATACAAAAATCTGAAAAGGAAATACGAATTGTAATGAAAAATTTTTTCCAAGATTACATTCGGACGAATTATTTTGGTGATCATTTACATTTTCGAGAATTCCACTTGTTTATTGTAATTACTTATCTTTTATTTATTATGACTAACTTAAGGATTTTAATTTCGGCAGAGAATTGTAAAAACTAAAATAAAATTTTTCAAAATAACATTATTATTTTTATTGCACACTATCCTAAACATCCATATAACATCAAATTATTTCACATTTTAATTCAATATTAGAAATAATTTTGTGTTGAATCAATTTCCATCTATTTCCTAAATGCATATTCACATTAATAATTTTTATTTATAATTAATTCTCATTTTAAAATATATTTCTCATTAAAAATTAAGAATTGTAAATGAATTATTATTTAGTCACGAAATTAATTATCGGATGTAATAAGACATTTGCAAAATAATTTTCTAAGTGAATATAAATCAAAATTTAAAAGTAAATATTACACTAATAAATAACATTTTAACTTTTTTTTTCATAAAAGTATTTTCTAAAAAAATAATCTGTTTAAATAACTTTTACATTTCTTCTCGCAAATTTATTTTAAAGAAAAAAAAAAAAAATCGTTACTAAATTTTGTCTAAAGTTTAATGCATGCAAAGATTCTGCAATTTTCTCAGAGAAATGATGTCGATAACGCGAGTAAAATTTATCTAATTAATTACAGTATGTTAAATGAAGTATATATTACATAATTCTTGAAATATTGACAGACTCTTGGTATTTTGATTTGTAAAACTGTCATTTCGATTCGATTTACTCCATATCGCGATTCGGCGGCTGCATGTTTTAAACACTTGCGGAGAAAATGTGAGATCGAATTTTTATGTTTTTCATAAAAGTTTTGGACTGATTTCTACTCGAATATTTCTAACTTTTTCAAATATTGCATAATGTTTCAAAATATTAAAGTACTGGACGTATTATTTTCAAATGCTATATATTTCTATTTATAATAAAAAGTAATTGATGACTTTTTAGTAAAAAGTAGTTTTGAAATATATTTATAAAATGTTTAGAATGTGTTAAATTTTAATTTTGCTTTATAAATTCTTAGTGTGAGGTAAACTTGTTTTCAAAAATTAAAAATAAATAAATATAAAATAATAATAATCTGTTTAGCTTTTTATTTGTAGTTTATTGTGTTTTTCGTGATTAATATTATAAAAATATGATAATTTGTATAAAATTAAGTTTTCTAATTGGTACACTTCAATAGTGCATGTAATTACAGCATTATAATTATATTAGAAAAACTACTATAACAAATATGAAACGTTTGTTATAAATAAATTATATATATATTTTCCTTTATTTTAGAATTCACCTTTAAAAATTTTTTATAAAATAAATTTTGATGCGGTTATTGATACGGTAGAAACAATTAAAAATTGAAATTTGAAGAATAAATATTTACTTTAAAATTAACATTTTGGTTATTTATGATTAATCATATTATATGGATCTTGTAGCAATTTTTTTCGTGTTTTTATTATTTAAAAAAATTTAAATTATTAATTGATAATAAAATTAAATGATAAGAAGTAGAGAATAAAAATAATATTTTTGTTTTTTAGTTTTATTGCTAGATAATTTCATACGTCAGCTTTCAAACTTCAGCTTTTTACGGATTAATTTTCAAGTTCGTTGACTTTTTCTTCTTAAGAAGAAGAAACTTATTTTCATCTTAACATTTTCCTGTCGTCATAGCGACCGGGCATCCGTCATAGACACTTTTCAATTTAATCTATAATTTATTAGATATCTCCATTAAAAATGTTTTACTTAGATCATTTCTGTAATTTCCGTAAACCTGTAGTGTTTTATTCGAACACCTGTCTTATCAAACTAATAAGAACTTCAGACGTGGGAAATACAGCGGATGTCACTTAATCACGAATGCGATCAATGAGATGAACAGTTCGGATCACGGAATTGTTTGCTTTTCCATATCCTACTTGCGAATCTTCGACAGTAATTTTTCATTAGAAGAACGAAAGCTAAAAACAAAAGATATAGATTTGTCTTTGTATGCATTTTAATTTTCGAAATATATGTGGGTGTTGTCCTTCTGCTAAATTATGACGACATCTGTTAATCTATTTTATTTCGTTGCCAGGATCATTTTCAGTATCACTGTGTGTATAGTTTCGAAACGATTGGGAAAACACCCGGATTTATTACAAAAAACCCGGATGTACTTTTTCAAAAAGTGTTATAAAGAAAAGTTGCGGTTTTTAAATTTCCATTATGACTTTATTCCAAGCTTTATTTTAGAACACACGTTTTATTTTTACAATAAAATAAATTATTTGCATTTTTTAATGTGTTAAAAATAAATATTTATATTTCGTAGGCTATATATAATTTACAACAATGCACTTTTTAGTATAAAACGTCTTAACGTAATATTTATATATATTGTAAAATCGGATTAATATATTTATCTTCTTTTATATAATAAACTATTGCATATCTGATCAAAATCATTTATATTCAACTGATATTATTTGATTAAAAAGTTTATTATTCAGATATGCATTGCAAGAAGTAATTAGTATCTAGAAAATAAATCAGTTAAACTTAAATTCTTTTATTTTTCAAATAATAAAAAATTATTATTTTTTTTTATCTGATTGAGATATTAACTATTATATTTCATTAAACTTTTTAATTTTTGATATACAAATGAATTGATGAA